GAACTTATAATACAAACTAGGCTGGGAATTTGAGGGACGAAGATGATGGATGTGATGTGGTAGGAACTTTGTGGGAGGAGAAGTGTACGGTGTGTCTAGCCTTTGAGTACAGGGTGACTTCAAAGAGACTAGAGGGATAGCATAGAACCTATCGCATTTTGAATTCCTTCGAACTCTTTATGCCTTCGACTGATAACAAGGCATGTAAGCCACTTGAGGGTTATGTAGTGTTTAACTAAAAAAAAGGTTGAACTCCAATCTTGAGGGCCCACACCGCACCGTCCTTAAAGTTTTGTGAGGGAGGTAAATCGCGAGATGTGCTCCGACAGGTTAGGGAACAAAAGCTGCTTGTATATTGTGCCTACAAAGAGTCTAATTCCATGTCTCAGGAATCGAACATTCACACTGCGACTGCCAACAAGGCGTGAGATAACCTCACTCTTATCCTTTACAACACTAGGCTATGCCCCGAGGGACTTATGTAGTGTTTAACTAACTATATTTATGGTGAGGCTAAGGTTACTCTTTCCCTCAGTTATTCATAGTTTCCGACATTTTGGTAAATAGTCAGCACTGCCCCAATGGATGGAGAAAATTATTTGGATGCCCATTACTATAGCATAAGCTAGGGTTTCCCATGTTGATAGTTATGTAGGGTCTGTTTAATTGCAAAGATGAAATTTGGGTGGAAAGAAAATGAATTCCAAGGAATTGAATTGTCTAAAAATTGATTTCCTGAGAATTGTAAATTATTGTGTTTTATTGGTATAATTTTCCATGTGAAAATTTTTGAAATAAAAGCGTTTTTTGGTTTCGTTTGGCTTTGTTTTATATGAAAATTATCAATTAAAGGGATATATTTTATTGGTATTGAGAATGAAATTTGTTTCCATTATAAAAAAAATAAAAAAAAAAAAATAACCAAGAAAATCATCTATCTTTTGGTATTTGTTTGACTTTGTTTTACATGAAAATTGTCAATTAAAGGGAAATAATTTTTTACAATAATTCTTATAATTTATTTCCATTGCACAGAAAAAAAAAAACTACCTGGAATTCCATTTCCCGTCATATAGGTGGGAAAACAAATTCAATGAAAAACAAGAAATGGTCACCGTGTGAAGGAAAGAGGGAATTCCAATTGCCAAAAAATTAATGCCTATCAAACACCAAAAAAAGTGGAAAATGGAAAACATTTTCCATGGAATTGGAAGTGAATCAAACATACCCGTAGTTCAGCTCGTTGTACTTGTTACGGAGCACGAGAATGATTCTAGCTGGTATTACACTAATTTCAAAGTTAGCATTTGGAGTTCCATACTTGTCGATATTCCTTCCTTAATGAAAAGGTGGAGGATTACTTCTTCTTTATCCATGACAGCTAGCAACTCGGCCCAAATGAGATGGAGAGAGTTTGTACTCTCCCCATTCGTTACCACAAAATTTGTGATTATTTTATTATGTTAGGTTTCGTTGTATTCATTCAACCTATTATTTATTTGTTAAGCTTTGTCTTGCAAGTTACTATTCTTTAGATATCAACTTGACCACCAAAAAAGACGGCGCTACAAGGCCCTTACGGAGGCATAAGAGGTGCAACTTTCTCATTAGTTACTCCAACCTTTCCACTATTGAACTCCTTATTGCCTACCTTATTCCATCGACTTTTAAGTCTCATCTTCTATTAATTTTACCTATGTTTTATTATTATTATTATTTTTTTTTATCAAGGTGTCCGCCTTCGACGACTATTTCTTGGGTCTGTGATCCGGGCCCTTTTCACACAGACCAGTTAAATCGCGGAATGTGCTTCCAACTGACCAGGATCCGAGCACCCATGTTCTGCTTACATATTACCTCATTTCTTCTTTTACTTTCGTCATGCTTAATCATGTTTCTGTTCAGGCCCAAATGCAAAGAAGAGGTCTTTCAAGAATGCAAAAGCTCGGTAAGCATAGATGATCTCTTAGAAAAAGGCTGTTGTTGAAGTGGCCAAGGATGAGATCCCCTTCGTGACTCTAGATTTTGTTCTACTTCAGCTGGATGCTCCTTTAGCTCCATTGCATATGAGCTCCAACTCTTTTCTTCTTTACTCGAACCTAGAGAGGCTTGACATAGGCGAGTGCCCAAAACAATTCCTCAACTTTATGCATGCCCTATCTCCACCTTAGGATATAACTTTTTTTTATCCCATTTTCCTGGTTCAAACAGTGTTTTGCTCTTTACTCGTAGTTGAACCTTGGTTCAGTAACTTCATTTAGAAAAAATGAGCTTGTCCGAGTCCTACATAACTGATGTCTTTATGCTAATTGAGACATGATCCATGTGTTGTCTGTAGCTGATAAAGTAAACACTGATATTGCTACTATCCAAAAAAATTCAGCAATATCCCATGTCGAAAGAGGTGGAAAAGAGTCAGCTTGCGAAGAAGGAAAGGAAATATGATGAGAGCCCGAAGGAATTGGAAGCTCATCTTTAGGACGAGTAGGAGGCCAGAGCCCAATCTGAGCGAAGGGTTGAGGAGGCCTGGGCTAGACTTGAGGTGGAAAAGGCCTGCGCTGAGAAGCAATAAATGACTATAAAGCATCTTATTTAATGTTATTAAAAAAGTAATTTTTGTTAAAAACTTTTCTAATTTGCCCTTATTTATATTTGTACAATTTCAATATTAAGTAGGAAGAATTGATTAAAATTAGACAAATTAAATAAGGGTATATTAATAAATGAACAAAACAAACATCTTCAATAAGAAAAGGACTATATAGTTGGGACAAAAAAATAAGAAAAATAAACTTATATAAATGGGACGAAGAGAATATTACAATTTAACCACCCTAATATATACCTCATTTGGTACACATTAATGTAAAAATGAGAATGAAAAATATAATCGTTGTGAACCCTACACAAGATATAGAAAGTCAAATATGATGATTTGATGTGATGGATAACGGTCATATTTTTCATTTTAATGTGCAAATAATGAGAATCAAACGTGGCATAGATCTACACTTCAATCAATTAAAACTTTATTTTACTCCCATAAGTTTTGATTATTTTTCCTTCTTCACCAATCTAAGAATTCAAAATTGCCCATTCTCTATCTTCTACAAATTACATCATATGAATCTCCAAAAAAAAAAAATTTGTTCAAGAATCAAATATCATGGTGTAAATGTGGGTGCGTGTGTAAAAAGTCAAAAGTGCAAGAAAAGTAGTATAGAGGCAGGGCCAACAATACCCCAACCCTAGCCACACCAAATCCACCAAAGTTACCATAACTAGGGATGGATTATTTTGTTGAAAAAGTGTGCAACTTTTGGGGAGCAAATATGTATGGGCCCTAAATCCCCACAAAACATATAATAAATGGTATCCAAGAAATATGATATTTTTTTGAAAATTTTGGTATATTTGATCCTCAAATATTGTCTCATTAACAAGTTGGTAACCAATATTTAGCCCCCCGTTTGGCCCCCATTTTTTTTTTCAAATTTTAATATTTTGAATAATTTTTTTGAAGAATGTGTATTTGAAAAAGAACGAAATGTTTTCGATTTACGTGTGATATTAATTTTTGAAAGATTATGTAATTGAAAATAATAGAGAGAAAAAAAAATGAAAGAGAATGGAGCCCAAATGAGGGGTTTAAAAACGAGCAAGTTAATTTATCTTCTGATATAGTTGCATCATCAGTTATAGTCGAAACGATCTAAACTTTCATTACATTTCTCACGGCATTCACAAAAATTCAACTCATCGAATCTTTAAGCACTAATTCAAATTGTAAATCGGCAAAATGCACCACTCGCACTTGCTAAGGAATGAGGCTAGTGACAACACACACAGTCCTTATCCTAACTTTTAATATTTTATTTTCTTTTATTTTAACCTTTGTAAATAAATTGTATTTAGAAATAAAAAATAAATTGCCCCTATTTGTTATCCTTTATTTTCCATTATTTTGTCTACGGTACTCATTTTTAACCACACATTTTTCATTAAAATAATATTATATGCAAATGAAAAAAATTTCCTTTTTTTTTTAACCATACACTTTCTATCAGTTACTATTTTATAATACAGTTTTTCAAATTAATGGGGCTCAAACAATGCCTTAATAAGTAAAATTGGACAGAAAATAGAGATATTTTAATTTCTAACCCACCACTTCCTGCACTACTCCCATTGCCATTCCTCGTAAAGAAAAATCTACGTTCATAAAATTAAATATATGATCACATAACAGCTTCACACGGATTTGAATACTTTCCATCTATAAGAATAATTGTTGCAACTATAGTAAAAGTAGAAATAGCAATGGGACGGATCGGGGCAACCTCCCCCGCCCCTCGTCCTGTTGGGTAATTTTATGCCCCGTTACTCGTTTAAGGTGGATTAAGTCGAGTCAGCGCCCCCATTTAATAATAGTTAATTTTTTTTAAATTTTTTTTTGATAATTCATTTTATTGCTCATTTTCATTAAAGTGAAACAAATAATATGTTTATTAAGTTTTTAAATTTATTTATTTATTTTTAAAAGTTAAAATATTCAAATATATTTGGTAAACTAAGGTTTCTATTGTTTGTCATGTTATCTGTACCCATCCCGATGCGAAATCCAACTAAGTGAGTAATCCTTGTCCAATTCAAGACAGGACACTTATTTTTTTTTCTTTTTGTTTTTTTTGTGCCATTTCGAAGTAAAATGCCTCAACGAACATATACACTTTGAAGGTTATAAACTGACTTCTTACTATAGTAGTATACTGGTGACTACAGTGCAATTATTATTATTATTATTTCTGCTCATCCTTTTCCTCCATCAAAATTTCCATATGCCTTGAATTTGTTCCTCATCAAATCAAATCAAAGATTGAAAAAGAGTGTGTGATCACTCAAATGATGAGTGGAAAAATAGAAAAGTAAAAGAATGAAAGTGACAGCAAAAATAATCTATCAATAATATTTCTACTTTTCTACAAACTGCTTGCACATAATAATACTGTGTTATTATTATTAATATTTCTTTGTCTAAAAATAGTCTTGGTTTCTATTTACAGAACTTCTCTTCTTTACCACAGGAGGGTCTCTCTGTGACAAATGCACGCATGCACTAAACTGTGCTAGATGACTCCTATATGAATATGACAGTATAAACTTTTTGATTCAGAGATTCTTTATTATAAATCGATTGATCTTGCAGATGGGAGTGGGGAAAAAAAATTGGTGCTGGGCATGAAGTTATTTAGTGTACTGACAGGTGGGTTTTCTTCAAATTTGCTAAAGGTTCAATTTTTATTATTTTCAGATTTAAATTTCGCTCAACTCATGAGGTGTGTGCGCTATATCCATTAGGTTTGAATCTTATAGGTTATTCTTTGAAGAGTACTGTTCCCACATATCTTCTGGTCCAGGGTTCATCATTTCTGTCTACCAGTTTCTTTCACAGAATTGGGCTATTTATTTTTGTTCTTTGTTGCTGTTATTGACTTTGTTGGGTTTTTATTTCATGAAAGAGTTGAACTTTCCCTTCATTGTTTGTTTTTAGCTTTTCTGTTTGGAAATGTGGGGGTTTTTTAATCAGCAATAATCAATAGCTTATGTTGTTTTATAATGCCTAGATATGTTTTCATTAGTGTTCTCTGAAGGACTTCCTCTGTTTCTCTTGAAATCCTTTAATTGTGGCTGGTTTCACATCTTTTGGTTCTCTTTTTGATTGTTCGATTTCATTGCCAATGTAAATTTCCATTTTATGGAGTTGGGAGGGACCTGTTCTATTATGTTCTTATTCAATTCCAAGCGTTGCATCATGTTTGTCATAAACGCAACTGAACTCAACTCAATTAAGCTTTATCAAATACTTATTCTGAGAAAGCTAAAAGATATTGAGTATCTCATTTCAGTTCAAGCGTTTTCCTCTTTTGGGTCTTTAAGGAAAATGCACGTTATATTTAAGATGAAACTTGCAGGAAAGCTGAAATATGGAACGGGCTAAAGTCGATTTAAGAGCCCATCACTTTGGTTCTGCACAATCAGAGGAATCAGCTTTGTATTTTGATCGAGAATGCTGCCAAAATCTCAATCTGCCCTTTTCAAGTCCGGTTCCATTACAAGCCTTTGCATCAGGTGGTCAGGTCGACAGCAATGCTGCTTATTTTTCATGGCCTACTTCCAGCCAGGTAACTGATACTGCAGAAGATAGGGCAAGTTACTTTGGAAATCTTCAGAAAGGGGTTTTACCTGAAACTTTTGGACGACCACCATCAGGGCAGCAAGCTACAAGCTTACTTGAACTGATGACAATAAGGGCATTTCACAGCAATTTTTTGCGTCGCTTTAGTCTTGGAACTGCAATTGGCTTCAGGTTCAGGCGTGGTGTGATGACTGATACACCAGCTATACTTGTCTTTGTTGCTCGAAAAATTCACAGACAATGGCTTCATCATGCTCAATGTCTACCCGCTGCTCTCGAGGTTCTAAATTATGGTGTTTGTCTTTAATTTTGGTTATCTTCTGGCTTTTACCTTTAGGTACTGCTGATTTGAAAATAATCATGAGTTTTGGCTTTCACACTCGTAAAAGTTTTCATGGGGATGATGTCTACTGGGTTGGATTCAAATTTTGGAAGTTCTTTAGGATCGTGTAACTTGCAATTATTATGCAAAAATGTAGTAATTAACAGCGTTAGTGGCGACATTAAAAGTTATTAAAAGTTTTGGACATAGTCATGGAAGATATAGAAGTTCTTTCCCGTAACTCTTACAAGCTCCTGGGATTTGAGTGTCTTTGTCATATCTTGAACAGGGACCTGGAGGTGTATGGTGTGATATTGATGTTGTTGAATTCTCTTATTATGGAGCACCTGCAGCCACCCCAAAGGAACAACTCTATACAGAACTTGTAGACGGCTTGCGTGGAAGTGATCCATGCATTGGTTCTGGTTCCCAGGTAATAAAAAATGTTTCTCTTAGCATTCTCATGCTTCGTGTAACATAGCATGCTCGTATTCTTTCAAGTAAGAGAATGGTCTTTCATAGTAAATGTAACAAAAAGAAATGCTAAATGCAGACCTAGATTACATAAATCTTCTCTCATGGCAGTGCTTTCTACTAGGATGCTGTTAATGATTTTCAGAAGTTCCCTCAGACAATTTTTATTGTACTCCTGGTACCTTGTCACTGCTCATTTATGTGTCTTAGGTATTAAACAGAGGGTTTGTGATGACAGTTAGTCTGAAGTACATGGTTTGTCATTATTAAGGATTCTTATGGTATACAATTCTATTAATTACTTAACTTACCAATTAGTTGCTCTGTGTTATTCTTAGTTGCTATGGAAATAATTAAGGATTCATTGATGAGAAGTACAGTACTTATCTAATATTTGGCAGTGTATTTTTAAAAACGAATTAATCAGGCTATTTACTGAGTGAATGAATTGACTTGAGCATTTGATGATGTGTATGCCATATAGTCACTGTATTTTAATTTTGGCAATTTGTATCTCCATTTCTCCTCTTATTGACATCAATTTCTCATTATGCTCCGAATCTAGAACACTTCTAATAATGTACATAACACACTATGTCATAGACCAGTGTAATTATTTCGGCCTTTATACCTTGATGTTGCCATTTCTACATGGATTCAAGCACTCTCCCTTTATTATATTCCTGCTTGTTTCCTTGTTAAGCCATCCCAGTGCTTAATAATCTTATGCATTTTTAGGTTGCAAATCAAGAAACATATGGAACATTGGGTGCTATTGTCAAAAGTCGGACAGGAAATAGGAAGGTTGGTTTCCTAACTAATCGGCATGTGGCAGTTGATCTTGATTACCCAAGTCAAAAAATGTTTCATCCCTTGCCCCCAAATCTTGGGCCAGGGGTATATTTAGGTTCCGTGGAAAGGGCTACATCATTTATAACAGACGATCTTTGGTACGGAATTTTTGCTGGAACAAACCCAGGTAAAGCATTTCAAGATAATAAAATGCAATTAATTAATAATTATTCACCACCTGCTACCAATTATTGAAGAAGTTTGCGTTTCTTATGTATTCTGCTTTTTTGATTCTGATGTCTAGATAAATAATTCTCAATGAACGGAGAATTATAGAAAATGTGTGAGCATGAAGAGTCATGCATGTAGAGTGTCAATTTTCCTCAAGATAAAGAAATGACCAACTGAAGAGGCAAAAGGTGGCAAGATTGCCGTAAGCTTTTGTTAGTAATTTATTATACCATTTGTAAGAATTTAAGAAAGAAAGATAATTTTCCTTGTTCTTATTCTTAGGAATGATACATCTCTCTATATATATACACACACGCAATTAGGATTCTATATTAGGTAATTATATAAACTAGGAATCTACATAATTAATCCCTATAATTAGGTCTTGCCTTATTTACATTCTGTAACACTCCCCCTCAAGTTGGAGTATAGATATTAATCATGCCCAATTTGTTACAAATATAATCAACTTGAATTCCATTTAGAGATTTTGTGGAAATATCTCTTAGTTATTCTACAGTCTTCACATATCCTATAGAGATTAAATTCTGCTGCACCTTCTCATGAATGAAATGACGGTCAATCTCAAGATGCTTAGTTCATTCATGAAATACAGGATTAGGTGTAATATGAAGAGCAGCTTGATTGTTATTCCACAACTTTGCTGGTATTGAAGTCTTAAGATCAACTTCGATTAAAAGTTGATATATCCATATTATCTCACACATAGACCGTGCCATAGCTCTATATTCTGATTCTGCACAAGATCGGGACACAATATTTTGCCTTTTACTTTTCCATGAGACCAGGCTTCCCCCAACAAAAACTTAGAAGCCAGTAGTAGATCTTCGATCAATCTTGAAACTTGCCCAATCTGCATCTGAAAAGCATTCAATGTGAGTATGTCCATGATTTTTGTACAGTATCCCACGTCTAGGAGCTCTCTTTAAATAACACAAGATCTGTTCCAAAGCTGCCCAATGGTAAACTGGTGGGAAGACATAAATTGATTTACAACACTAACAGGATACACAATATCGGGACGAGTTACTGTAAGATATTTCAATTTCCCAACCAGTCTTCTATACTTCTTAGTAAGTTGCAAATTAGAAAGCATTGGAGCACTGCTTGGCTTAGCTCCCAACTTTCCTGTCTCAGTTAATAAGTCAAGCACATATTTTCTCTGAGATAAGAAGATGCATTTCTTGCTTCTTGTCACCTCAACTCCCAAGAAATACTTCAATACTCCTAAATCTTTTGTGTGAAATTGGGCGTGAAGAAAGGACTTCAGAGATGAAATTCCCATATTATCACTGCCAGTAATAACAATATCATCGACATACACAAGGAGAATAATGTCGGATTCGGAATGTTTGTAGAAGACTGAGTGGTCAGACTTGCTATTTTGCATTCCAAACTTTTCCACTGCCTGACTAAATTTTTCAAACCAAGCACGTGGACTTTGTTTCAAACCAATAAAGACTTTCGAAGATGACACACTTTCCTGTTCTCCCCCTGTACAACAAATTCAGGTGGTTGCTCTATAAAAACGTCCTCCTGGAGATCACAATGTAAGAAAGCATTTTTTATGTCTAATTGATGCAAAGGCCAATTATGAGTAGCTGCCATAGAAATAAATAAACAAATAGATGTTAATTTAGCTGCAGGAGAGAACGTGTCAGAATAATCCACACCATAAGTTTGAGCATAGCCTTTAGCCACAAGACGAGCTTTAAGCCTAGCCACTGACTCATTAGGATTGAATTTGACTGCAAACACCCACTTACATCCAATAGCCTTTTTTTCTACAGGCAAATTCACCAAATTCCAAGTACCATTAGCATCTAAAGTATTAATCTCCTCTATCATAACATCATGCCAACCATCATGAGATAAGGTTTCATGAACAGTTTTCGGAAGAGTCACATATTCTATAGAGGTAACAAAAGAAACAAATGATTGGATCCGATGCTGAAGAAGAGTCAGGTGCCGAACATGCATCAAGAGGGTTTCATCGTCTGGAATACACCTGGTGAAAAGGTGGTGATGGTGTGGGATCAACAGGTGTAGAAGCAACATTATTTGACTCGTAAGTGACATGATAAATTAGTAGATCATCATCCTCCCCCTTACTGGAAGAAGTATAAGAAGTAGGAAAGAAAGGAATGTGTTTTAGAAATGTGACATCTGCTAACACAAGATACTTGTTAAGACTCGGACAGTAGCATCAGTACCCTTTTTGTAGACGAGAGTAACTCAGAAGCACACATTTTAATGATTTGGGATCCAATTTAGTTAAATGAGGACAAATATCATGAGCATAACGAGTACTACCAAATATTCTAGGATCAATGGAAAACAAGGATTTAGTAGGGAAAAGGACATTATAAGGAGTTTCAACATGAAGAACAGATGGAGGCATGCGATTAATCAAGAAGCAGGCTGTGGAGACTGAATCAGCCCTAAGTTGCTTAGGAACGTGCATTTGGAATAGGATTGCTCTAGCCGTCTCAAGGAGATGTCTATTTTTTCTTTCAACTATACCATTCTGTGAGGATGTGTCAACGCACGAGGATTGATGAAGATTACCATTTTGTAGCATGTAAGACTGGAAAGAACCGAAAAAATATTCTTTGGCATTATCACTTCTCAATTTATGTACCGAAATATTAAATTGTGTTTTAATTTCAGCACAGAAGACACTAAAATGAGAAAATATTTGGAACAATTTTTCATTAAATAAAGCCAAGTCACACGAGAAAAATCATCAATAAAGGTAACAAAATACCGAAATCCAATTTTGGACACAATAGGACAATAGCCCAAAACATCTTAATGAACTAACTCAAAAGGAAAACTAGCTCTTTTGTTGACTCGAAGAATTGAGGACAGACGATGATGTTTTGCAAACTGACATGACTCACAATCTAAAGACAATACATTCTGAAACTAAGGTCATAATTTCTTCAATAACAATAAATATGGATATCACAATCGACAATGTGCTTCAAAAGGAGTTAAGACACCTGAACACGCAATGGACTTGGGCACTTGGATATCTAGAATATAGAGACCGCTTGATTCATGTCCTTTACCAATAATCTTCTTCGTCATAAGATCCTAAAAAAGACAGTAATCGCGAAAAATGCGACAAAACAATTTAAGGTCAAGTAAGTTTGCTCACAGACATTAAATTGAAAGAAAATTGTGGTAAACTAAATATAGAGGATAAGGAAATTAATGGAGTTGGATTAATAGTGCCAGAATCGAGAACAGAAGATGTAGAACCATCGGCTAAACTAACATCGCAAGGAGATATGTGCGACTGAAAAGTAGAGTAGAGACTAGGATTACTTATCACATGATTTGTGGCACTAGAATCAATAACCTATTTTGAGGAAGATGAGAGAAGATATATGCTAGGTTTACCTGTCTCAGCAGGAGCAAAGATGGGGTGAGATGAATTCTTCAATGCTTCCTGGTACTGAGTAAATTTGACAAATTCATCTTCAGAAACTGTAATGGTCTGCTCATAAGGTGTAGCAATAGTAGTTGCGATATGAGCAGAGTGAGATTTCTGAGACTTATTGTGCAATTTTCAGCACGAGTATTTGGTATGACCTGGCTCATGACAGTAGTAGCATACAACTCCCCCTTTATTCTGACTTAGATTAACCCGACTACCTGTACCCCCACCTCTTGTATTACCTCTACCACTACGACTGATAAGAGAACTAGAAGGTTGAATAGATGAAGCAACAGAAGCACTAGTATTTGTGCGAAGTACTTTAGTAAATATTTCTTGTAGATATGAAATCTCAGCACTGGAGAGAATCTGGGATTTGGCAGTCTCAAACTGAGGATAAGACCAGCTAAAAAACTCATCACAGCCATTTGCTCCCGCTGAACTTGTTGAACTTTCACATCCAGACTAAAAGGTAACAAGATACTCAATTCTTCATAGATCTTTTTGAAATTCATAAAATAAGTCTGGAGTGACTGATCTTATTGTTCAGTATGGTAAAAATCCTTATAGACTTCATAAATACGTAACATATTCCCTTTCCTAGAGTACATAAATTCTAAATATTTCATTAATTCCTTAACATACTCACAGTGATTAATTAGACTGATTATCTTAATATCAATGAATTACAGATTTGTAAGAATAATCTAGCATCATCTTGTAGCCATGTTTGGCTATTATTATCCTTCAGTGGATCTTCAATAAAATAATTGTCCATAAAGATACTCCGCAAATAAATCCGAAGAGTCTTACACCAATCTAAATAATTTGGACCAACCAACTTATGCTCCGTAATTTTAAACATCACTGGAATGACATCAGTCATAGCTAAATTTTTTTACTTGTCGTCCATAGAAATAAAACACAAGATCCAAATAACAAATCAAAAGAAATCAACAAATAACGGTCCAAATCAAACACAATCCAAACAAATGTGCTTGGTCCCTAATCCAATAAAATGAGTCAAATAGCCTAAATTAATCAAACAAGCCAAGGTAGAAGAATACCCGACTCTCAGGCCCAAAAGAAACCACACCTAATCACAACCCTTCAAATCCACAGAAGGTCCAAATCATCACACTAATCACCGATTGCCAACAGCAAGAGAAAACCCCGACACCAAAGTTGCAGGTTCAGATCCTGCCGTTCACGCCACACAATCGTTGGTTCAGATGCATCGCACAACAACTGGACAGAAAGGACAACTCAACCAGTCACCTACTGTCGCGGTCCAAGAAAACGGCGATACCACAGCGCCGCACCCCACCCCACAAAATCGCACGTTGACAGGATGTCTTCCAACTTTCGACCACCACGAAAACTTGAGTTCCGGCAAGACCACGATTCAGCAAAAGGCCGGCTCTGATACCATGTAAGAATTTAAGGAATGATACATACATATATATACACAATTAGAATTCTATATTAGGTAATTATATAAACTAGGAATCTACATAATTAATCCCTATAGTTAGGCCTTGCCTTATTTACATCCCGTAACACCATTCTATTTGTAGATCAGTTTGAAAAAACTTAAAAATTTATGTACCAGTAACATACCGGATGTCACCAATTATATAAGCATGTGGCCCATACTTGTTTACCATTGTAATAGATTAGTCGGTCTACATTTGTAGCATAGAGTATGACAGTAATTCCTTCACAAGTCTTTCTACTGTTTCGTTGTATCATTAGAATCTATTAAATATTTCTCATTTTTTTATGGTCTTACTTCCACCTGATTTTCCTCGGCTTTGCTCTGGAATGTGTATGGGCTAAGTTACTGATGAGAAAGCCTTTTACTCATGTTATTGTATAATTACTCATGATTCCACGGTACCCAAACATTCAGATTCAGTGAACAATATTTGTAACTTGAGATTATTTTGCTTTTAAAGTACATGAGGTAAAATATTTGCTTGGTGGAGGATGATTTGAACTTTCATGCTACAATTCCACCTTTAAAAGTAACTTCCCATTGGGTATATTGAGCTTTAAAATTTTTGGTTAATAGTTGTATACAACAATAATATGATTGCTGAGTCCTTTTTTGCATCTTTAGAAACTTATCTAGTTATCCAGTATAATAAAGGTGTGTCTAATTTCATATTTGTACTGAAAGGTCTCTAATTGAGTCCTGAATCCCATACTTGCAGAAACATTTGTTCGAGCAGATGGGGCTTTCATCCCTTTTGCAAAAGATTTTAACATGGCCAATGTGACTACACTTGTAAAAGGTCTAGGTGAAATTGATGATGTCAATAATATAGACTTGCAGTCTCCTATCAATAGTCTCATTGGAAGACAAGTGGTGAAAGTTGGAAGGAGCTCTGGCTTGACAACTGGGACCATAATGGCCTATGCCCTAGAGTATAATGATGAGAAAGGGATTTGTTTCTTCACCGATTTTCTTGTTGTTGGTGAGAGTCAACAGACATTTGACCTTGAAGGCGACAGTGGCAGCCTTATTCTTTTGACAGGTCAAAATGGGGAGAAACCCCGGCCTGTCGGAATCATTTGGGGTGGGACAGCTAATCGGGGTCGGTTGATATTAAAAGTTGGCCAGTCTCCCGAGAATTGGACCAGTGGAGTTGATTTAGGGCGCCTTCTTGATCTCCTTGAACTTGATCTCATCACATCCAAAGAAGGCCTCCAAGGTTAGTATAGGTTTAATTGCCCTCATGACTGGTATTAACTCGATCCATTTTGTAATATTAAGCCCCTGTTTGGTATCGATTAAGTCAAAATCAAGAACTCATTTCAATCATATATTTTATGGTCCCACAATTTTTCAACTACACATTTCATAAATATCTATCAAAATCTACTAAAAATCTTATTTTAATCCCCACCAAATAGGGAATAAAGACAATATTTAGCCCCCGTTTGGTAGCAATATTTCACCCCAAAAAATTGATTTTTTTGACCGTTATTTCACTGTTTAAAACGTCATTTTTTACTTCTTTGCCCACAGGTGGGACTCACTTAATGGTCAAAAAATCAATTCTCATAATCATTATCGAACTGACCCTTAATTTATATACATTTCGTCTTGCCTAACAACTTAAACATTTAGATTCATGGGCTCAACAAGGTATCAAGTCACGCAAAGGTCGTGAACTCGAATTTCATAGCCACCCATTTAAATGAATTTGTGATGTTAGGCTGTAGTGGGAAAAATAAATAAATCCTGTCTACATGTGAGGGATCGTTTTGAAGACACTATTTAAATGATATATATTTGGTTCTATCTAATAACTTAAGTTTTTAGATTAAGTGACTCAATAGCAGACCTATTTATTAAAAGCTAGCTAATATTTAATCAAGAAAGAAGATATAAATATGATTGATTTTTTTTTTTTAATTTTTTTTAATTTTTTTTTTGGGGCTCCATCAGGCTATCGAAATAATACTATTAGGCCTGAGAAAAGTTATTTATTGGATTATAATTTACGATTTAAGAAAATTGGGGTGCATTCCTGCAAAGATTATACAAACATGCTTGCTTATGGACCTGCGTTCTTGTGAAAGAAATGCCCACCGACCAATAAAGGCATTAGATTCACACTTGCACCTAAATTACATGAAGTATTAAATGTACACGATTGACCAGTACTGCAAGGTATTTTGAAATTCCCTGGGTTTTTTAACTTTGGAGGCAACTTTTTTAGGAGAATAACACTGCACTGTTCAATTAAAGCCTTTGTCTCGAACTCCAAAAGCTTCCTCTTCTTAGACACCATCTCTATTTCAACTGTTTTATATGTCTATCTATTTTGATGGTTTGTATTCCACTTCTATTTCTTAGCAGAGTTTTTGTAGTCCTGGGAAAAATTGGGTCTAGGTTGAAGGGTGAGAAGGAGAAAAACAACTTTAAAATAGCCCCCATGCGTTTTAATTTCTTTACCTTTTTCTCTGTCTTCTTTTCTATGATACCTTTTCCTGATTAAGCTTGTTTTTGTTTCCTATTGCATATATAGTGGCAGTTCAAGAGCAGAGAAATGCAGAAGGTGGTTCTACTGTTGGAGAGTCGTCACCACTTGAGCGCGTTACTGCAAAAGATAAATCCGAAGAAAACTTTAAGCCAGTTGCTTTGAGCATCCAACAAGTTTCTACTGACAATTATTCTCATCAAGGAGTAATTCCAAAACTGAGGCATGAGGACTTTCATATTGATTGCAGCATTGGGAGAGCTCCAGGTGTAGAGCACCAGTTCATCCCGAGTTACTCTGGTAAATCTCCAGTAAATCAAAACCATCAATGTGAGCAGGCTGCATTGAAAAACCTCTCATATTTAAGAAATGGGCTGGAAGGAGAGGTTTATGTTTCTTTGCAGTTAGGTGAACCAGAACCAAAGAAAAGAAAGCATTCTGATGCTTCATTGGACATTGGAAACTCAAAATAATAAATTGCTCCATTTTTGTTCCTTGGATTATCCTTGGGAAAAGTCTCTGTGCAGGCCTCTCCCTACCACAATACGGCAAGGGTGTTCGGCTGGTACTTCACTGCTAGAACTTTATTATCATTCTTTTACCCATATTTTTGTGAATGTTATAGTTATAGGTTATAATATATGAGTTAAATAACATGCAAGGCAAATGCTGTAAAGGGAATTATAAACATATTGTGGGTTGTATATCAATATTATGCATGTTAGAAGTCTAGCCCCAGTTAATAATGTACATGATGAAGCATAACTCCTATTCTTTAGTGAAAAATTGTTCTAGTAAATATGTATCCCTTGGATTGATCTGTACTTGCTCATTCTCACCAGTGTTTGCACAAACCATTGGCAACTTGAAGCACATTAGGTAACAGACAGTTACATTCACACGCCTATACAGCAAGACTTGCGGTAAATTTTTATTTCTGATTCTGCATGGCTGAGTGCCAAAGGCAGGAAAATGTTAAGCCATTGCTTTCTACATTCTTTACATGTATCATCTTCTACTAGGAACAAGGGATTCACAAGGGAAATGCTTTTATACACAAAGAAGCTCCATTTGCTTCTGATCAGAACAACTTTACAAATGTAATAGCTTTCTTATGCTTTTTCTGAAATAGATGAAGCATTAAGCTCATAGTGCTTATGATCAATTAGGGACTGCAATGGGACGGGGTCCCCGTCGGGTAATTTCCAGCCCTGTTACCCTCTTAAAGCGGGGCGGGGTGCTTGCCCCCTTTAGTACCCGTTTCATTTCATTTTATTTAATTTTATATAGTTTTTGATAATTCATTTTATTGCCCCCCATTTAATAAAGTGGGACAATAATATATTTATTAAACTTTTAAATTTATTTATTATTTTTTGAAAGTTAAATTATTCAAATATATTTGGTAAAGTAATTTTATTGAGTGTCATATGCTTTTGATAATCTTAGTTGCTATTTTGTATTAGAATTAATAAAATTTCGTGGAGATTTTTTATTTAAAATATTGAATTCTAAAAAAAAAAAAAAAAAAAAAATTAAATAGAGCGTGACGTGTTCCTTGTTACCCGTACCTGTCTTGGGGCTAAGCTCCACACCCCACCCTTGAACCGAATACTTGATTAAGTGGGTAATTTTCGCCTTGTTTGGGGCAAGGCCCCCCAAGGTATTTGGGTTTGCCAAGGTTTTTTTTGCCATCCCTAATGATAATCTTTTTGGGATTGAACTATAAAGGTGAACTATAAAGGTGGTATGACCATCTTCTTGCAACACTTTGACCACCTTCAATACGAGAGGACTGGCGAGCACTGACTTCCCCTCGTGCTGGTTCTATCAATTTCCCCCCTCTCCATATTGAACGGTAGCCCATGCTCACCTCTCATCCTGAATCTGCTAATAGATATCGAGCCCACTAAGGACATGTTATTGGTTGTCTCAGTCTTCCATAATGATTTCCCATTCCTTTGAGTGAAGTTACCTGTAAACCCTATGTTTTATTGCTTCCAACGTAAAATGAAGTAAGTTGAATTACAGAATCATTTACTGGATTGTAATAAGGATCATGATTTGCCTTAAGCCAATGCTTGAGAATTATGTACTCATGATGTAGTCACGAAGGATGTCATGTGGTCTCTTGGGACTCAAACCCTCGCTTCTATGCGTATCCCGTCTGTCGCGAAGAAGGAATTAACAAGAAAACCAAGTTACTGAAGATATAGAAATTTAAGTAGCCATTTGCAACTAAATTTAGTTGAGTTTTAACATGGAAATTCATCGATGTTCTAAGTTTGGTACCGCTAAAAAATCTGATTAAAATTTAAAATAAAGTCAAAGTCAACAATTAATTTCAACTATAGATTTTATGGGACCTACAATTTTTCAATCTTATATTCCATCAACTTTTATCAAAATATAATTTTAATTTCTATCAAACTGGGGTAACGTGTCATGCAAAAAACAAAAAAAATCTATACTTTGGCCCCATTTGGTAGCTATTTTGTTCAAAATGTATTTTTCTCTCTCTTTTTTTCAACCACACATTCTTTATTAAAATAATATTACACGTAAATAAAAAACTTTTCCTTATTTTTCAACCACACATTTCACATCAATTTACTATTCTAAAATACATTTTTACATAAAAATACTTATCAAACACCTCCTTTAGCAGATTCTATTGGTTCAGAGATTCATCGCTATCATCACCAATGTACTTGGCTGGCAAGCATGCAAAAACAATGTTCTAGAGTATTGTCACTGTTAGAATGCGAATCAAAATTATCAAGAAATTAAAAAATTCTTTAATTCAATAAATAAGATCATCTAAATGTTCACGTATATGTTATATCAAAATAAAGAATTCAAATTTTTACCTAAGTTTGATAATCAATTCTTGAATTAATTTTGAACCACGAACTTCCAGCTTTTTGGATCACGAACTTCTAGCTTTTTAATTCCAAGAACCTGATGTCTCAAACCTCCAAATCTTCTATGGTATTCTCCAAAGTCAAGACTACAATAGCGGGTGAGCACCTTCTTTTAATTAAATCAAGAAACTAATTCTTAATCTGGACAGTTGATAAAAAGCAAGAAATATAATTTTCTCTCTCTCCAAATTTGAATATTATGGAATTATGTAATATGAATGTTATACAATTCCAAAGGATGTCTAGAATCCATCTAATCCTATTTATAGAGATAGAAGAGTTCCAATCATTATACAATAATAATTCCACGTTCAAATAGGAGTTCTAATTAAAATCCAAGTAGGAGTTTTAATTAAAATCCAAATCCAATTAGTTTACATTTAATTACACGTGTAGTCCTAGAATTTCAATTACAATTACAATTAAGTTTACGACTTTCATGGTAATTATAATTAAGTACAAAATTTTATTGTAATTACAATTAAGTCCAAAACGATTATAATTATCGTAATTATGTTCCAATACTTCATGAAGTTACCATAGGGACCTGATCGGACATATATTATTTAAGCTCCAATAATTAGATCATGTATAGTCGATTTTAGATTACTCAATCTAGTTATTAGTCTTTGTCTTTTCCAATAAAGGCAAAAGACTAAACTCTCGAAATATATAAGATCACATAAGCCAACAAATTTGTAATACTTTCACCTGACTTGTCGTATATATATTTTATTCTCGTCAGAGATCCGATAATTAGGTACAAGTATAAATGTCTGCTTTGTTTTTCTAATTATTCTCACTAACTTAAGTACCATTTTCTTCAACAGTTATGTAAACTAATCATAGATGTCAAAATTTAGTCATCGCTAAACACTGAGCTCAGATTTTAACCGTTTAACATAAAATATTTAAGTAGCCACTCTACTTATTTTTCAGGGGACGGTTCCCAACACGAATTCATGTTATCTACACCGCTATTCTCAAGTTCCCCCAACTCATCAAGATATTTGACCAATCAAATAATCTCATCTATTGATAAATTAAAAAATCATTAAAATTACAAAAAGATATACATAATCATGTCAAGAGATTTAGATGAAATACACAGTGGTCTAGTAGAATTTATTCTCCGCACGATCATGCTATATAATTAAATTCGACACGCGGTCTGTTCATTACACTCCAAGTGTACTAGTGTCACATTTAACTATTTCTGTAATAAAAACAAATCATAAACATGAATAGTAAATCGATCAACACTATAACTTTTCAGTACAAGGTGCCAACCCTTATACATTGGTTGTGAACAAATTATTTACGATCAAAATATAAGTTGTATCATACTGTACTTCTCAACGCAAGTACTCAACTTATATCATCTCAAGTGATCATAGGCACTTTAATTTGCAAGCTTAATAATAAATAATGTAATAAATAAATAAAATCACAACTTATAATTAATTTATCATCGCAAAATATACTATATGGGCACACAACCCAACAAATCTCTCACTTGCTTTAGAGTATATGTGTCATGTCTTACAAACTCACGTTTGCAGATGTCCCTAGAAAATTTAGCCAATAGGCTTTTAGTAAACGAGTCTACAAGATTATTCTAGTAACTATCTTACTAATAACCACATTTTCTCTACCAATTATCTCTTTTAAGAGATGATATTTTCGTTCAATGTGTTTTACCACTTTAATGACTCAGCTCTTTAACATTTGCCACAATCCTACTGTTATCCTAATACAATGTAAAGATATTTGCAGATGCAGGCAACACCTCGATATCCGTTAGGATTTCTAAGTCATATAGCCACTTTGGTGACTTCATGAGCTACCACTACTTAGTATTAATGGTGGAATCAGCAATACATGATTGCTTGATATTTCTCAAAATAATAGCCCTACATCAAGTGTAAACCACGATACTGATGTAGATATGTGATAGCCCTTATCGCTCTGGAAGTCTGAATCCTTTTTAACCTATCAAAATAAGATCTAGCGATGAGCATGTAATTCTCTATTCTCCGAAGGTACTAAAAGATATGGTTTACTACCATTCAATGTTTCGATCACAAGGTTAAATAGATCTCGACTCACTACACCAATAGTATGACAAATGTCAAGTCTATCATACAACATAGCATACATGATACTACCTACTGTCAACGCATAAGTATCCTATTCATGTACTCAATCTCTTTAGAGTCTTTGCGGACTGATCCTTAAAGAGTTGGATTCGATGCCCGAGGGTAAAATTTTCATAGCAATCTTATCAATGAATTAACACTTGGGACAAAAGCTATCATCTTGTTTTTTGATCTTTCAAGATCTGAAACCTAGAACTAGCTAGTATCATTAAGTCCTTCAGATGAAACTGTTGAGCCAACCACGCTTTCATATTCAATAACACATTCACATTATTTCTAATGAGTAGAATATCATCCACATAAGTACTAGAAAAAAATACAATTTTGTCTTGTATCTTTTTATACAGGATTCATCAAAGTTCTGATTAAAATCAAATGTCTTAATCACTTTGTCGAATCTCTATCCAAGACCTCAATGTCTGCTTCGATTCATAAATAGATTGTTAAATCCACATCACCCAAATCTCCTTATATGGAGTCATATCATCAACTTGTACCATGGAAATCACCATATTGGACTCTCCACTCAACAAGTACCATGAAGGCAAATTGATAATCTTTCGACTTTCTTTAATAGACGATTGATCTAGGACCGTGGCATCATTTGGAACGTAATATTTTAGGAATTGATGAGATAGAATTAGATTAGATGACTATTTATCTCTCCCATTTAGATCACGTTGCCGAGGTTTTTTACTTGACACCATGGGATGTTT